CCTTCACTTACTCGTGTACATACACACTTTTTTTTTCTAGAAAGGAGATTATGTTCAACATATTTCTATATGACTGTGGTTTGTTCTGCTTGAATATTATATATCTGGGGGGATATTTCCTGGGGTTCACCTCATTCTGTCTCATTTAACATCAGTGCAGCATGGCTTTCTAAGGGGCAGCCTTCTGTGCACCCAGTTAAGGCGTGGCTACCTGGAGCCCAGAAAGAAAAACGAACAAGGTGTGCGCGCTCGCTGGACGATCCCCGCCCGACAGAGGAAGTTGGGCTTCCCATTTTTGTCGCGTGAGTTTTCCCATTATAACAATTAAAAATATAATTGTTATCCTTAAGCTGGCCTGGTTATTTCCCATATCGAGCTAATTCACAACATTCCATGCTCCAAACAAAGGCATATCCCGGGAGACCATCTAGAACATTCCAAACTATGACTGTCATATACCATGCGTATACCACCCATCTCTGATGCTGGGGCTTTCTTGACTATTCTGACTCTGATTATAGCCTTCTTTTCTGGGGTCCCGCTAGAAGCCTATGGACACTTTGGCACCCATCCCCAGTCTTCCTTGGCCCAGTCACAGCCAGACCCTCGCCGGGGAAATCAGAGATCCCAGCTGTGACCTTGACTTGTCCCTGCCATCATCTACTCTTTGGGTTGCAATGATCTTCCAGAGAAGATTCTGCAGCCCCACTTGGCTCTCTTTCCCATCTCACCTCTCTGGGCAGTGCCAGTCATGAATTCTCCTTTGAACTACCTTTAGGATCCTATGGAGAATTTAAGTAACCAACACAAATATTTTCCCTCCTCTTTTCCTTTTGTGTGTTTATGAGGGCACACTCATGTATGGAGGTCTCTGTGTGATTTTCTTTGGGGCCTGCCGGCTGTGGGACCTGGTGGGAGGACAGAAACCCTGACAAGCAGGCCCTCATGTTACATTTGCATTTTGCTAATACAAATTATAATATATGAAGTGCTATCCGCTGTGTTTTAGTTACATGGAAATTTACTCACACACAAACACACACACACTACACACACATACAGTACATACATATACAGCACACACACACCACACACATATGGTATACACATATGCAACACACATATACAGTACACACATATACAACAACACAATACACATACATACAGTACACACATATACAATGCAAACAATACACACACATACAGTACACAGACATACAGCACACAGAGTACCCCCCCGACCCCTTACTTCTGCATAGTTTGGACACTCACATAATTCTCATGCTTCTTCCATTTTTAGAGCAGGTTTTTTTTTTCTGTACAGAAACTGAAACTGTTGTCACTGAAATTAATGTAACATCAGAAAGCAAACACAGTGGTCTTGTATGGGAACAGGACCTTCTTCTTTCTTTGTAAATACAATATCCGGGTGTGGTAGTGTTTGCTTGTAATCTTAGCATTTGAGAGACTGAGGCAGGAGGAACCTGAGCTGGAGGTCAGCCTGGGCTCCACAGTGAGAGCCTGTTTCAAGAGAGCAACAAAGCAGCAGTAGCCATCCTTGCTCAAACCCACAAGTGGGGGTCCATCATCCACTACAACACAGGTTTAAAATTCTCTCTCTCAAAGGGAGGTTATGGGAATGATTTCCAGGTATGACAACATAAAATATTTCACGATCCTCTGACAAAAGCACAGTATGGTTTTAGAATCCCGTAATGCATACCTTCCATAAATTCTCTCATGTGGGAAGCAGCCTGGCAAAGTGGAATGGGGACTCTGGAACCAGACAGCCTGTGTTCTTATCCTTAGTATTTTGGCTAGCTGTGCCAACTTGGATGAATCGCTTGACTGCTTTTTGCCCTAATTACCTCATCTGTTAGATGGGATAAGACCACCTACTTCAGTTGTTATACAGTTAGAATGAGTTAGTGTTTGTAAAGCACTTAGCCAGTACCTGGAAGACAGTAAGCACTGTATAACTGTTGTTAAATAAATAAAGCCCTACAATGGGTGAGGCATTTAGAAGTACCAATAGATCCAGGAAAATACTGAACTGCTGCTATCTGCTGAACGCTTACTTGTGTTTGGTAGCCACTAGTCAACTGGAGAATCGGCACCAACTCTTGTAAAAACTCTGAGAGTACAACAATACTCATTTATTTTTATAGTTTCTTGACTAGCTACTATATATCAGAAGTCATCTAAATGGTAGGATGAAGTATCTTGGGATATATTTATTTTTCTTTATTGATTTGTGTGTGTACGTGCACACACACTCATGCATCCCCATGCCACAGCATGGATGTGGAGAAAGAGGACAGCTTATGGGAATCCGCGTTCTCCTTCCACCCATGTGGATCTTGGGGCTTGGCCTTAGGTGGTCAGGCTTGGTGAGGTCTTTACTTGCTGAGCCATTTTCTTTCCTAGGATTCATATTTTTAAAAATCATCACTTTGTTATCAAGGGCTTTGCTGTTTGGTTTTGAACAGGGTCTCACTATGTAGACCAGGCTGGCCTTGAACTCACAGAGATCCGCTGCTCTGCCTCCCGAGAGTGCTGGGATTAAAGGCGTGCGCCATCAGGACCAGCCAGCAAGGGCTTTTAATATTTCCAAACCAGCCTCAAACCACAGCACAGCTGTTCACTTTACTGAGAGATACCTTCTGGGTTCGAAAGTATTATATGTTTGACAGGACCACTCCACTTTTTCCTCTTTTCTACCCAATTTTCATTGCTAGGCTCTTTATTGATTTGTATCCTTTTAAAATCCTTTTCAAATCTGTTAGTTTTCAACAAACGTATGATTTGAGAGTTTATAAAAACGATGCCATTATTTATTATGTTGTCTGTTAAAGTAGCTTTGCACTGCACAATGTCTGGCTGCCCACCTGTCTTTGCAGACTTGTTACATTTCCCTGGGGTCGACTCTTAGAGGAGAAATGGCACGCACACTTTAACCTGACTGATTTGCTGAGAGATGCTTTCTTAGAGTCTATGAAATAGCACTGACTCCAACTGCAATGGCAATGCTGTTTCTCCCCAGTGCTAATCAATAATTTAATTTTAGCAGCCTGGTGGGTAAACACTGATAAATTGATATGACTCCAATTTAACAATGAGGATGATTTGGGGATGTTTGTTGGCTGTTTTTATTTGTGATCAATTGTCTGTTTTGGAGTGGGGGGATCTGGAGAGATTGCTCAGTAGTTAGGAGTACTTACTCCTCTTGCAGAGGACCTAGGCTTGGTTCTCAGCACCCACATCATGATTTACAACTGTCTGTAACTCCAGGGGATCCAACACCCTGTCCTTGTTTTCAAGGGCACTGCACACAGATGGTATGCACACTTACATACAGGCAAAACACTCATGCACGTGAAAAAAGGGAAAAAATATTGTTTTCAGTAAGGAACAGTATTCAGTTATCCTGAAAATCAAATAATGATGAGAGTGAAACCCTGCTCGTTTTCCTAAGTGTTCAGTTATGCACTAAACAGAAACAGTTCTTGAAAGTGCTTTTTCGCGGCACCTTCTTTGGCTCCTCTACCCAGGCCTGTGGTTAATCCACAGCTCTGAGAGACTAGCACAGCCTTTCCATGAGGGAAGGAGAACCAAAAGGACAAGAAGCAGGATGGAAGTCTTTGGGTGATCACATCCACACCTCCCCCACCTCCCCGCGAAACTCCTATATTCTTTTCATGTTGTGCTTGATCAATGAAGAAGGTTCTTGGGACTAGGAACAAGGAATGTGGGAGGGTTATGAAGAGCTCTTTCTGTAAGAGACGGTCTAGGGATCGGGCACACAGCGATATGAACAAGACTAATATACTGCCTAGTGTCTTAAAATGGTCAAGATCGTAAATAGTACGCTACATGCTTTTTTTTAACCACAGTAAACGAGCTAATTTTAATTTTCTATTGCAGCTTGTCTTTAATCAATCAACAAACATTTATGCTCTAATTATGGACCAAATACTTTTCTGTCATGGAAAGTGCAAAGAGTTAGGTCTGATGGCTTTGAGTCTCAAGAAACTAGCAATTGCATAAGGGAGGTAGTTAAGGACGCATGACAATTAGCTAACAACCCCAGGCAATGCAAAGACACCAGATGAGAAAAGACAGAGTCTCCTGCCTTCAGAGCAGTTATTTGTGCTACAATGATAGAAATGCTTGTTAGATATCCTAAATGGCTTTTAAATCAAATTAAAAATTATTCATTAATTTCTTTTTATGTGTTTTGTCTGAATGCATTTCTGTGTGCCCAGTGCCCACAGAGTCCAGAAGAAAGCATTGGATCCCCTGGGACTGGATTACAGACGGTTGTTCCCTGCCACATGGTGCTGGGAACCAGGGTTGTCAGGAAGAATAGTCAGTGCATAACCACTGAGACTTCTCTCCAATCTTTGAAAGCATTTTCATATTCTCTCTCTCTCCCTCCCCCTTCCTCCATTCCTCCCTTCCTCCCTCCCTCCCTCTTTCTTTCTTTCTTTCTTTCTTTCTTTAAAAAATTTTTTTTTTTTTTTGAGACAGGGTTTCACTGTGTTGTGTAACCCTGGCTGTTGTGGAAGTCACTTTGTAGACCAGGCTGGCCTCAAACTCACAGAAATGCTCCTGCCTCTTCCTCTCAAGTGCTGATATTAAAGGCGTGCGCCACCATCGCCTGGCTTCGTGTGCATTTTCTAAGTTGGCCCTCCTAATAAATCTAGAGGCATCTCTACTTGAGAGCGGAGGAAACAGAGGCTCGGAGATTGTAATTCACTCAGTTCACCAGGCAGAGTCTGGCCCAGACTTAGTGTCTGCTGCCACTAACTCCTCGGAAGGTTTGTTTAAGTTGGAATTGAAGACTTGCTGCCAAAAATCTTTTCAGGGTCAGGGCAGAACCCAAATATGCTAAGAATACTTTGGTTATGTATTTGCTAAAATTAGGATTATTCCCTCCCTATGCGTTCTAGACAACAAGATTGAGACTTACATTTAGTACAAAAGTCACAGATGTTTTTTTTCGCTTTTATTGGTGAGAGAAATTCAAGTCATAGTAATAGGATGGGGCTAGCATACAAGACTATCTCAGGGGCTGTTTCTGCACACTTTCAGTCAACTCCAGCTTCAGCAAAGTTCCTCCCCCACCTGAGGAGCATCTTTCCTTAAAGTCACAATACCTGTGTTCCGCCAGTGATTGCCCTGATCTGTCCGACATGTGCCAGAAATGGGCATTGCCACAGCAGAATGAAATCAGTGAGGAAGAACGTAGAAGCCATCATCAGGATTATGACCATATGATTTACACCACTTAAAAACAAAACCCCATCCTGCTTCAGAAGGACTTCTAGCTAGAAAGTTCAGAAGCATTTACTTTGTTCATACATACCGCTATCTGGTTACCTAAGGTCAAGCCATTGTTTACCTTTGTCAGACAGAACCTGGGCAAGACACCTGAAACCTGTTTTTCACCAATCACTCGGTCTTCCCGTACTAAGCAACAGAAAATACTAAATTATTTCTATAAAATCACATACTCAATAAGGAAAATAAAAATTTAAAAGAACATGTACGGATAAAGTAAAACTAAAAACAAAAATCGCAATTGGTGGTTGCCCCCTCAATATTTTCCAAAAAAGGGCAGTGCTGCCCTCTACTGTTGAAATGTTAGAAATACGTCTCTGCAGGCTTTGAGCAAGCCCTGTCTTAAAACACTGCTTTAGGAGTTAACAGACACCGTGTTCCTCGCAAAGACATTGAATGTGCTCTTTGTTTATCTTTTCATTCACATACACCTTGCACCAAAACACAGAATTTGAGGTCATGACCAAAGAAATGGAGGAGGAAAGGACGCCACAATTCAGAGACAAAATGTAAGGGACTGGAGCTGGAGAGCGCTCGGCTGTCAGGCCCTTTCCTGATCTTCAGGAGAACTCTTTTCCAGCCTGGCCTATAACCCGCTCCAAAGACTCCAACCAGGCTGCCTGGAACTCCAGCTCCAAGGTGTCTGATGCCCTCTTCTGGCCTCTTTGAGCATATGCACGCGCACAGCATACATTCACGAAAACACTGTAAATAAAAAGAAATCTTCAAAAGAGCAGGCATTACATTAGCCATACGTCACTGTGTCTACAGACACATCTAGGTAGAAACAGGATACTGTGAGGCGAGTATTCTGATTTTAAGGCCTATGGCTTCCCCATTCTTCTCTCAGTTTGAAGTGATTTTCTTTTTTTCTTTTCTTTCTTTCCTTTCCTTTTTTTTTTTTTTTTTTTTTTTTTTGCTAAGGCAATATACTTTGTGACTTTTGTTGTTGTTTTAAGTCAGTGGTTCTCAACATGTGGGGCAAGACCCCTTTGAAGCTGCACATCAGGTGTTTATATTACAATCCATAACAGTAGCAAAATTACAGTTATGAAGTAGCAACGAAAATAATTTTATGGTTGAGGGTCACCACAACATGAGGTAACCTCCAACAACATTAAAAGTATTAAAAGGTATTAAAAGGTTGTAGTATTAAGAAAGTTGAGAACCTCTGTCTTAAGTGGAAATGAAGGTTTCCCCAGATGTTGAGAGAATTATGGGATAGTTTCTAAAAAATTTTTTCTCTTGAAGAGAAAGATATAAAAGACTATTATTAATATACTTATGTTTTAATTCATTTTGAATATATTATCTCGTTTCTTTTTAATTTTGTTAGCAATCACTGATCTTTACGAAAACTTCTTAGACTCAGTAGCTAAGGCTCACCTCAAACTCTCCTTCAGCCTTGTAAGTGCTGGGTTAATAGGTGCGAATCACCACCCATGGCCTCTTTTCCATTTAAAAAAATACCTCAGAGTACATACCTGCAAGAAGCCAGATCAAGCCAGATCAGGCAGACTTCAAAGAGAGCTCAACCAGTACCTTCCAGCCGCCTAGGGATGAAAGTGCAATCTCTATGACAATAATAATAACTCTACCACTATGCCGCGCGCATTTCTATCTGCTACAATGTAACAGACAAGAATAGTAACACTCAGACAATATTAAGTCACTCACTGTCTCAACTAGTAAGAGGCAAAGCTGGGATCTCATTCTGAGTCCAAGCTTAGCTATAATTTTCACCTGAGCTGCTCATCATTCAATAAAAAGCCTAAATAACTCTCAAAGCAACGAGTCTGTGATATTAGTGATGACAACGAATCTTTTAACCCTAGGCAAGCCCTGCTAACATCTGCTGAGTTCCTGGGAAATACAGTTCAAAGAGTTTTCATGCCAAACTTTTCAGTTGCATTAAATAAGTTAATTTTCCCAGCACCCCCACCTTCACTCTGTGGTAGAACTATTATTATCTTCATATTGCAGGTGAGGAACATGAGCCACTCAGAGGAAATCCACTTCTAGAGGTCAGGCTTTTAACCATTGTACTATGATACTTAAGTACAAAAAATTATACAGTGCAACAATTTCTAAATGGCTCCGTGGGAGTAATTACAGCCGGCAGTGATGATAGCACTCCCGGCACTCAGGCCTGTTGGTGTCTTCAGAACACAAAGGTCTTTGCAGCCTTAAATAAAACCGGTGCACGTGAGTATCCAGTTCAGGAACTAAGTATAGATCCCGTCTGTTCCAGGCCTCACTGGACATGTCCTTCTGGGGGATAAGACACAGTAAGGCGTATCCTGGCTTGGTACAAACCCTGAGGTGGCTGGGGATGGGGTGGGGTTATGCTGGAAGAAGGAAGAGACTCTGGGGATAAGCACAGAGTTAAGCTTTCCCAAGGATTTCCCAGGCACATGACCTAGTTAGTCTGGGAGAAGCTAAAAACTGGCTGCTCTCTTTAGCAAGAGAGTTGCTATCCCAGGACACAACCCCTTAGCAGGCTTGGTGTTTATTGAACCCACCATTTGGCCACACAGGGACTCTTGAAGGTGTCTTCTCTAACATCTTTGGTTTTGAAAGAAAATGTGTTCAGCACAAACTCAACATGTAAATGATATCCTGTCCCTCGCGACAGCGTACATACACCCAAATATAACCACCCCAAAGCCTTTTGTGCTCCAGTGCAAAGGGCGCTAAACCTCTCTCCCCCGGCATGTTCCTAAGTTTAGACACCCTGGGTGCTCCGGGTGAAGACTGAGGAAAACGAGCAGGGGTGGATTAGTTTAAAGGTCCGGGCAGTTGCCGCTGATGTTCTGCCGCTTGTGTTCTGGGACAGTATTGTTGGTCCTAGAGGCTTCAGATTTCCAGAAGAATATATTCTAAAGGAATTCATTCTCGATATAGCTGTTGCTGTGTGGCTTCCCATTTCCTCTTTTACAGTTTTTTTTTTCCTTTAAGAAAAGAGATTGGGGTCGGGGTGGGAGCCAGAAGGACTCCCTTGAACAGTTTTAGAAACTTGGCCAGGAGGCACTGGAACTCCCAGCCTCTCTCTTCTGACCTCAGCTCCCCTCTCCCTGCCACTCTGCTGGCTGTCTTACTTGAATGCCTGGCTCTTCTCTTCATAAGCCTTTTGCTTGAATTATTTCTTCAGCAAGGAGGCAGTGTTGAGTCAATTCTAAGTCAAAGTGTTAAAATTAGCAATGACCGGGAAGGCATTTTGTTTATTTCAAGTTTGGTATTTTATTTAGGGGGTTGCTTACAAGACTCAAGACAGAAGAGAAGACTGAACACAATCTCTAAGGCTCACATGACTGAGGGATTAAAAAAAAAAAAGAACATTTGAATCCTACGGAGCACAGGCTTCCTCATCTTCCCAACCCCCTGGTTCAGGTGTAATGGGACAGGAAATAAAAACACTATCTGTCTTAGTTAGGGCTACTATTGCTATGATGAAACACCATTACCAAAATCAAATAGGGAAGGAGAGGGTTTCCTTGGCTTATACGTCTATATCGTCCATCACTGAAGTAAATCACGACAGGAACTCAGGCAGGGAGGAACCTGGAGGCAGGAGTTGATGCAGAGGCCATGGAAGGAAGTTGCTTACTGGCTTGCTCACTTACCCAGTACCCAGGACCACCAGCCCAGGGGTGGCCCCACCCACATGGGCTAGGCCCTCCCTCATCAATCTCTGATTAAGAAAATACCCTTCAGGCTTGCCTACAGCCTGCTCTTAAGGAGGCTTTTTCTTAACTGAGGTTCTCTCCTCTCAGATGACTTTAGCTTGTATTAAGCTGACATAAAACTATCCAGTTCACTATCACAGGTTTGACTGTGGAGTCCTTTGGGCCATCATCTCTGGGGAGATGACTCTGTTGGTAAACGTGCTTGCTGTGTAAGGAGGACCTGAGTTTGGATCCCCAGCCCCCATGAACAAGCCAAGTGTGATGCCATGCTTATAACTCCCATGCTGGGGAGTGGAGACAGGCAAGTCTCTGAGCTCATTGCCCATACAATCTAGCAGAATTTCTGAGTTCTGAGTTCAGTGAGAGACCCTGTCTCAGATAACAGGATGGAGAGCAACGGAGGAAGACAGCAGACATTCACCTCTGGCCCCCACACCTGTGCACACCTGTGCTTTGTGCCTAACAGAACACACACACACACACACACACACACACACACGTATTTACTTGATCTTAGCCACACTGACAGTGTTTGGGTAACCTAAGGCTGCTTTTCTCCCCGGGAATGACGCAGAGAGTGACCGTGACATCGTTGGCTACTGCTGTGGAGATCACACTAGTTCGGCCAGGTTGCAGAAACACCCCTTTCCACGGCTGCACTCAGACTGATCTTTGGAAGCCCTAAAAGCACCAGAAGGCTGTTGGACCTTTGGTGTTAGCTTGTGACGGTCAGAGGGAAACAGGGAAACGCTGTGGGAAGTCACCTTAAAAAAAGGGGGGGGGGAAGCCGGGCGATGGTGGCGCACGCCTTTAATCCCAGCACTCGGGAGGCAGAGGCAGGTGGATCTCTGTGAGTTCGAGACCAGCCTGGTCTATAGAGCTAGTTCCAGGACAGGCTCCAAAGCCACAGAGAAACCCTGCCTCGAAAAACAAAAACAAAAACAAAAACAAAAAAAAAAAGGGGGGGGGCGATGTTTTTAAAAAGCAAAAGACAAAATAAAGGTAGCAGGTGCTGCTGAGTTCCGAGGCTTATGTTCATCCTGACTGGAAGACTCGTGTGAAGATTCAACATGTACTCCTAAGGAAGCCACGATACTGTTTTCTCACGAAATAACAAGGAACTGGCTCCTTCCAGCATTTGTTGGATATTTAGTATGAGAAACGGAGGGAGGTTTGCCAGGTCCCAGGCAAAGCGGCGTATCATTGCCAGGGGGGTGCGGATGAGGTGTATTTAGAGAGCTAGTATTTAGAGAGCACTTACTGTATGCAACTAAACGCTTTATATGTATTAACACATAATCCCCACGACAACCCCGAGGAAAACACTATTATCTCCACTCTACAGAGCAGGAACAGGCCTGCCCAAGTTAGTAAGTGGCAGCCAGCTCCGAACCTAACTTCCCTGGCTCCAGAGCGAGGTTCTACTCAACAGGACATTTTCTAAAATTGTAATGTCGACCACCAAACCCCCGACGCATACGAAAGAGATTTCTAACCAGACGGAGGGTTAAGAAGAGGTTTTACGGAGGGCTTACAGATGTGAATCTTCAAGGTCAACAGGTGGAGAAAGAATCTGGACAGAAATAGTCTCAGGGGAAGGAGCGGCCTGACAAAAAGAAGCAGCAGTTTGGGTATCAGCCAGTCGATGACAGCACACGTGGGAGGAACGCTACAAAGGAGGCCTCGTCAGCTGCCTGACAGTCCTTGAGGACTAGCCCCCCCCCCCCCCCCCCCCCCCCCCCCCCCCCAGTTACCGGCGAGTAAAATTGCTCAAACTAGAAAGCGCTCATCCCTTACTCTCTGCAGGGTCTCCCCTGCCAGCGATCAGGGCAGACCGCGCTCCCAGGGTTCTTTCCGGGAAAACACTGTGTGGAGATGGTCAAGGTCACCCGCGCGCGGGTACAGCGTGTCCAGGTGGACCACTTGAGTTCTGCGCACAAATGCCGGGGACTTGGCTGTCAGTCCGGCCTGGACAGCTCGGGAACGTGCGCACTGCCAGGGCCTGGCGGGGACAACCACCTGCTCAGCGGGTACAGGAACAACTGTCCTCTGCAATTCCCACGGGCGGCCACCGCCCCAGGTCTCCAGGCCCCAAAAGGTCAAGGAGTACGTCCTCTGGGGACACCAGCCATCCGCAACATCCTCATCACCCTAAGGAATAAAAGCCTCAGCGATTGGAGCAGGCTATGCCAATCATCCTTGTTCCCGCCCACACCTCCACCGGTGTAAATCGCACTGGTTGCATCACACGAGCCTCCGATAAGATTCTCTTCTTGAATTGGGTAATAGAGACTTGTCCCGCCTAACCCATCTTTGTCGGGAGGTTGTGATTGGCTGACCGCGTTGCCACGTTCCGGACGCGACTCGGCTATTGGAAGCCGTGGGCTGTCCCCGCCCGCCGGTGAAGGTGAGAGTCTCCTCCGGTCACCGCGCCGCGCAGCGTACGGAGCAGCTTTGGGCTCGCGCTCGAGGTCTCGGCAAATTCCTTCAGGATGGCGCCTCCATCAGTCTTTGCCCAGGTTCCACAGGCCCCTCCAGTTCTGGTCTTTAAGCTCACTGCGGACTTCCGGGAGGATCCAGATCCCCGCAAGGTTAACCTCGGCGTGGGAGGTAAGGATGCAGTGCCCTGGAATGCGAGCAGCTTGGGGGGCACCGTGGGAGGAGCCGAGGCTTAGTTTGGTGTTCCCTGAGAGGGGACCCGGGTGAGAAGGCTGGGGCCACGAGGCCGTCCACCAACCTACCCATTTTGCAGATCGTGACACGGAGTCCTCGGAAAAAGGCAGCGTGTTCAAGGTCACGCAGAACAGGTGTAGCATCTGGAACACAAACGTGGTTTTCTGTTTCTCCATCCTGTGTTCTTTATAGTACATGTTTCAAAGCAATGAGACGGCCAGGGATTGTACGGAAGGAGAAGTCTGGTAGCTTTGGGGTCATGGTCAGCCGGGAAGTGGGAATGAAAGAGTTGTTAGCCTAGTGGAACTGTGGTCTGGGCTAGGTGAGCAGCAGGTACCAGTTAGGAAGCCTGTCACACCACGTGAGGAAAGATCTCGGTTTGGTTTATTCTCAGATGAGGTGCAGTCCAGCTCAGGGCTCACACACCTGGGGCTTCATTTCCTTGAACCAGTTTAGCCTTCTGCTAAGGACGTTTGTGTTGGAGAGTGCCTGAAACTCCTTTTAACTGGAGCCTCCAGCGACTTTGTTGTAACCGTCCTTTTGATGCGGGAGGCTCTACGGAGCCTGGTTTGCGTTGGTCCATATATAGAGGCCAGCCAACCAACGGCAGAAAAGTGAACAGGGTGGTGGGTGACAGCCTGAAGATGCTAGAAAGTTTGGAAGAAGAAACAATTGTTTTGTAGCCGAGGGTGATGTGAAGGGGATTCGGAATTAAGATTCTTATAGAAGTGTGTGCATAACCCTTCACACACACACACACACACACACACACACCATCAAGGAACAGGAGAGGGATGAGAGAAAATCCTCAGTGCTGTTGTATTGACGGTGGGCGATGGCACATGGACATAAATGACATATATCGTTTTCTCATCTTTTATGTATGTTTGAAACTTCTCAAAATAAAGCATTAAAAAGTCAGTGTTAGTTGTTCCTCCAGTGGAGGGAAATATGATGTTTTTAGCAGCCAGCAGAACAGGAGAAATGCTGATGGTCTTGAATAGAAATCAGAATGCTCACTGTATAAGCTCTTTATTTAAACCCAGTGCAGAACCTCCAAGTGTTTATTTACAGCCTGATTTATATAGAAGAACTGATGAGGTCGAGGGCCTTGGCCCATCTTACAGGGTTTTTGTGGCGACTAAACACAATCGCAGGCTTTGAATGAGGGCTGGCGTGTAAGCAGGAGTTATAACCAGCTATAAGCAGGAGAAATAACCAGCGTATAAGCAGGAGTTATATAACCAGCTATTTCTGTTGCTGTTGCGGCGTTTCTTTGAGTGGGTCTCTTTAAAAAACGTTGAATGAAAGTTATCAGCCTAAGAACTGAAAAACAAAATGATTTATGACGTTGGTTCAGGAATAAAATACACATGCACACAAAAACCTCGCTGCGATAGCATCCAGGCCGGACAACCCGGATCAGCCTTCAGCAAGATTCCCATCCAGGCCAGACAACCCAGATCAGCCTTCAGCAAGATTCCCATCTCAGCAGTGATATGCCTTTTGCCACTTTTTCCAGGAACCTAAGAACAGGAGTGAATGAGTTGTTCATGTCTGTGTGCTTTCTGTCCACAGCACTTCTGGGAGCTGTTTTGTGACTCTCCTGTTTGCAAGGAAGGAGGCTGAAGCCCAGGGGAAAGTATAGTTTGACCCCTAGGTGGAAGAGCTGGGATTCTAGCCATGTCCTAGGTCCCAGGGTCTCTGGCCTTTTATCGGTTGCATACTTTCAGCTGGCCTGGGGGTAGCCAGTAACCTGCAGGAGCCCTGGGTGCCCGGTGCCAACTGTGGTCTAATGAGGTTTATTTAATGCCTTTGAAGCCGAGGTAGAATGGGGTATTAGGAATGAATGACAATTAGAATCTATCAAAAGTCTACTCCAAGATTGCCCACACGCTCTATTAAGAGGGTAAATCTGCGGTGTGGGGTAATTGTATTGACCCTATCAATTAACCATGGACTAAAAGAACAATTACGTGTGACATGTAGGTGAAAGGCGTTGCGTATTTGCGTATTTGGTCATTATTGTGACCTGTTCTGTGTGGGTGATAGGTGGCAGATCAGCGTCTACTCTGAGCAGAGTAGAATAAACGGTCTCCTTCTGCATGTGCACGTCCTGTTTTACACACACGCACGCACACACACACACACATGCACACACACCAGCACACTCTTGGTCAAGGAGATTAATTAATTGCTGACTGTGAGATGATGCTTCCTCCCAAGGTCAAAGGTAATGGGAGCTCCTCCTCTCCCATTCTAGCGATGCTGGACAGTTTTAGAATAAGCTGCTACTCTAATCTCGTTAAGCTGGTTCCCACCCACAGACAGTTGCCCCAGAGATTTTTCTGCATGCCGAGCTAATTTCAATAGTTTTCTTGTCATTAAACAGAGCAGGTCTTTTTTCGCTGTTAAGCACAATGCTGATGGAGTTTTGGGCTTAGTGTTTCTCAAAGCCTCTGACTACAGTGCCTTTAAGGATAGACAGTCACAAGTCCATCCTGATGCAAAATCCTCCCCCGCCCCCAGTACTGTGAGTGTATATATTCATGTGAAGGCCAGCTCTTGACACTGTCTTGCACAATTGTCTCTTTTGGGACAGTGTTTCTTCCTGAACCCGAAGCTCACTCACTGACGGCATGGCTAGCAGGTCAGTGAGCTCAGGGATCTGCTTGTCTCCTCTGTCCCAAGCTTTAGGTTACACACCATGATGCCCAGTTCTTTATGTGGATGCCTGGGATCTGAGGTCCTGTCTCATGCATGCGTGGTAGGCACAGAGAAGACTGAGCCATCTCTCCAGCCTCCAGTTTCTTTTTTTTTTTTAAATGTGAATGTACCCTTCTTTTGGTTTAGTTACTTTAGTAGTTGTTTTCAGTGGGGCTCCTCCCCTCTTCAGATATCAGTTGTTGGCTAGATGGCTGTGTCAGGTATTTCTCAGAGCACAGGTGGAGAAGGGTCTCAGAAGCATAGGTGCAGGGGCTCTTGGGTGTGCCTGGGTGAGGGAGGTGGCGCCAGTAGGAGGAGGTGATGCGGGTGATAGTTGGACTATTTAACCCTGTTCTTCCTGCAAAGCAAGACTGCTGGGCCTGCTCTTCACCTGTGAGACTGCCTCGGAAGCTCGCTCAGGAAGAAAGGCCAGGCTCACAGGGTAGATCTCAGCAGCAGGCTGATTAGGAGGCTCCTGATAGAGGCTCTGGGCCGAGCACTTTGTGATTTCCTTAGGCATCACCTGTTAAGATCGTAAAGAAAGGAAGCGAGAACTCAGAAGTTCCAGGCTAACTCTTCTTATCTTTGGCAAATAATTTCTGGCCTCAGTTTCCTGATTCCTAATACCCATCTATTTTGTGGTTTGTTAAAATAATTAAATGAGAGTCAAGAAATGTGCAGAGTACTTAGTAAATCCTTGCTATTACCATGGCTTCAGTTCCCACTAGTGTCTATAATTATGAGATCTTTCCACGGTGTGTCTTCTCACCTAGTACCCTTCCTCTTCTTCACCCTAAGTTCTGTATCTTCATCAGCCCCTTCCCTCCCCACCACCCACTTATAATCCAGACTAGATGGGTATTGGGATCACCAACAACACTTTCCCGGACCCACCTGTATATGTTTGTTCTCTGGGTTCCAGTTTTATGTCCTCACAAGTCCATCTGTGTATCACCCTTTGTCTTTATTCCCCCATCGTCACTGTCTTATTTCACATCTTCATTATCTCTCTTCTGGGTCATTTCTGGAGCCTTCCGATTTAGCCGTGCCTCTTGGTCCTCTGGAGTCTGTTTTCCGTTGTCTCCTACAGACGATTCTGTTCAAGTGTACAGCTCCTGATGTGACTGCTTTTGGATGTCCCAGAAGATCCTTGACAGAAAGTCCCCAGACCGTGAGCTCCCTGCGGTTCCTCCTTCCCTGCTGGTCCCTCACAGAGCCTGCTCCCGATGCAGGAAATTATAGAGCCTCAAATGTCTCATGCCGTCCCGTTCCTGAGGACCTGGCACAGTTGTCTGTCTGACTAGGATGTAACCTCTTCCCTCATCTGCCTTTTAAACCCTTCTTTATTTACCTTTCACACTTCATCCTCTGTAAGGTCTTCCCTGACTCAGCATGGAGAATTCAAGCCCAAAGTGCTGCTTTTCCTAGGAGAAAGGATATCTCGCTGTAGCTTTTTCTAGCCGGTGCCTGGTCAAGGCAGTGAGCGCCCGTGGAAAGATGAGATGAGGGATGGGAGGATGAGCAGCAGGAACGAAACAGGACGGCAATAAGAACTCCCCAGGAGAGATGCATGGTGGCTATCCACAGCGCTGGCCTTCCTTGCTTCAGCCATTCAGGAGTAGTTTACAATCCTGCTTCACTAAGATACACAACACGCTAGGGTATGTCTAGGACTGAACCTGGGAGAAATTGGGCAACGAGAAGGAAGCTGCTGAATTAGGCAATTGGCCTTTTCTCTCAGTACAGCTAACAGTGCCTCTTCCCAACC